CACTCGCAATTTTTGCGATGGGGTAATTGCTTTGTTTCAAGATGAATACTTAAGACGTCCAAATGTGGAAGACGTGCAGAGGTTACTCCAAGTTGGTCAGGAGCGTGGTTTCCCCGGAATGATTGGAAGTATCGACTGCATGCACTGGCAATGAAAGAATTGTCCTAAGGCTTGGCAATGGCAGTTTACTAGTGGACACAAGGGGACGGCAACAGTTATCCTTGAGGCAGTGACATCTTTTGATTTATGGATATGGCATGTTTTTTTTTGGTTTGCCAGGTACATTGAACGACATTAATGTACTAGATAGGTCACCGGTATTTGACGATATTGAGTCCGGTGAAGCCCCGGAGGTGAATTTCATTGTCAATGGGCGACAATACAATCATGCTTACTATCTTGCAGATGGAATATATCCGAAATGGCCTGTCTTTGTCCAATAAATTCAATTGCCCCAAGGCAACAAAGCGCAGTTGTTTGCCAAACAACAAGAATCATGTAGGAAGGATGTGGAACGCGCATTTGGGGTTCTCCAAGCACGATTTGCTATTATTCGCCAGCCCGCTAGAATGTGGGACATTGAGGTCTTAGGTAAAATAATGAGGGCTTGCATTATTTTACATAACATGATAGTCGAGGATGAACGAGATACATATTTGCGAAACTGGGAAAATATTGACTTCGAACCATCGAACAATGCTAGTGCTAGCTCTAGCTCCTCTTTCAATGTCCAAACACAAGTGTTGCCACAATTTGAAGTGCACGTTCAAGCCCGAGCCGAATCGGATATTCATACTAGAGCCGATCTACGTGATAGGGCCAAACACATTCAGTTGAAAAAGGATCTCGTCGAGCACATTTGGCAAAAATTTGGAGCAACCTTCGAATAGAAATGTCAAAAACTTTTAATGTTTGGTGTGTTTTTTCTTGCATGTTTCAATAAACTATTTATGTTTGGTGTGTTTTTTCTTGTATGTTTTCAATAAATTATGTCTGTTTGGTTTACCACTACATTAATAATAGTGTGTGTTGTTTTCTTTTATAAAATTAATATATTATTTATTGCATTAAAAATTAAGTTTTTTGAAAATTATAAATTATTAAAAAATACATATTATTTATTACATAATAAAAATTAAATTTTATAATTATAAATATATTAGTAAATATAATAACGATTAAAATGTATAAAAAATAAGAATAATAGGATGAATAAATATGGTGGGGTATATGGTTGAGTGATGTGGAGGAAAGATAAAGTGAAAAACTTTTGAAAAACTAGTTGTTGTGGAGTTGAAAGGCAATTGGAAAAGGCAAGTGATGTGGAGAGAGAATAAAGTGAGGGGGAAGGAGAGAGAAAGGCAATATTTGCCTTGCCATTGGAGATGGTCTTAGAGATGAAATCAGCCATTTTTTGAGCGATCCCTCCCAGTCCCTCTCCTCCGCCTCCTCAAATCCCTCCTCCTCCGCCGCCTCTCCGCCGGAGTCTCCGTCGCCACCTCCTACCAAACCCTAGACACCCTCGAAATGATCGAGCAACTCGATCGCGACCGAAGACTGACCCCTTCCCCTTCTCGCTCCCTCCAGCTCGCCTACTGCTGCGTCGCCGTCGATCTCACGGCGAGAATGCTGAGGGGTGGTGGGGAGTTAGGGGAGTTCTTCAATGCTGTGACAGGGTTTGGAACTGTCGGGTCGGGGATTTGGAGTTTTCGGAGGCGAAGGGGTTGGTTTCGGAGAGGTTGAGGGCGAGGGGGGCAGATGATGGAGGAGGCGTGTCGGGAGTAGGGCGCTTAGGAAGCAATTGAGGAGGAGGAGGGAGAGCGCTACGGAGGCCAAGGAGGCTCTCGTCGCGTACGTGAAGGAGGCGGCGAAGGAGATAGGAGGTGAGAATCTTTTTACTCCCCTGATTTTTGTTCGAATTGATGGAAAAAGATTGGAACTTTAACGTTATTATCGGTTTCCATATGAAATTTGGCGAATGATTTATTCACATGCTTAGGATAAAAAAACGGGTATTTGAACGTGGGAAGTTTTTTCTAAGGAGAACGTGGGTTGTGGGAAGTTTTTTTCAAGGAGAACGCGAGTTGTAAAAGGGAAGTTTTTAGAGAGAGAGAGAGTACGGAGATGATGAGTTGGATTTTTTTCAAGGAATCTGATAATTTGTTAATTTAAATTGCGAGATTAGTATTATATGAAGATGCCTGATGTAACTGCTTATTTAGATGCATGTTTCTTGTATCTTTTTTGTTACTTTAAAAGTTCAGTTAGCATAATTTGATGATTTAAGTTGATATTCTCATAATTTTGTATGTAGGTAACTAATATGTTGATTATATGTTTCTGTCTTATGATGTTAGCAAATATTAGTTTGAGTTATGCGCTTCAATTAGTGAGGCGCGCACCTCGTTGTGCGCCTTGCGCATGGTGCGCGTAAGGGACCTTTGCGCCCCGCATTGCGCCTTGCGCCTTGCATCTCGATAACACTATACCAAACTATCGAAGTACAAAGTGAGTTAAAATATAATCAGTTGAGTACACTGGGGAGAAGAGTGATTTGGGAAGTGGTCGGGTTTAAAAATTAATAGGCTAAAACTTTGGGTTTATATACAAAAACTTTGGGTGATTTGGGAAGTGGTCGGGTTTAAAAATTAATAGGCTAAAACTTTGGGTTTATATACAAAAACTTTGGGTTTATATACAAAAAAAAAACCCTATAAAGTGGTAAAAGTTGCCAAAGGATCAATTATCATAACATGAAAACCTATGAGCTCACAGTTATCAAAATAATATCTCGAAACATGTAAAACTTACAAAAGTAGCTCCAAAGGGGGCATAGTTAATATAACAATCTCAAAGTGGTTAAATTTGCTAAAATTACCAGAACAAATACTGAGCTATTTTCCCCCTTGGTTGTTACTTTAAATGTGCGAGGCTTGGTGCACCAGCAAATTTTTCTTGCGTAGGGGTCAAGACTGCATTATGACTGTTGTGCAAGAAAGAAAAACTAATCATGAAATACTTGTTTAACTCTCCAATTTCTATAAATATGACTTAGTTTCTTGGTTGGATGTTCCTCTTGAAAAAAGATAATTATTACTCTCCAATTTCTATAAATATGACTTAGTTTCTTGGTTGGATGTTCCTCTTGAAAAAAGATAATTATTATAATTAATAATAGACTCTTGGGTCTACTGGGTGCTAAGAGCTCCCATACAAAAGAAACTTCTTAATAGGGTGAACTTGCTCACTCTAAAATATCTAATCCCAGCATGTATGTTCCCATGGATTCTTAACTATGGATTTTTAGGGGACACAATACCCTATCTGTGTGTTGTTGACATTGATGCTTCTTACCTTCCATTTGAGCTGCCATAGCGGTCAACAATCATGTTGGAAAACATGGAGACCTATTTCTCCTTTATTAAGAAATAAACATGAATACTTTTAAAAAAAAATTCTTCAAAAAGGGTGTTTTGATCTGACTATTTGATTGCTGCAATTTTCACAGTAGGGTGAACCGGCTTTTATAGATAGAAGTGCTCTTTATTCATATAGTACCAGACTGACCTGTTTGATTGCTCAACAACATACAAACACAGCTTAGTCATTTCATCATAAAACAAATAACAGGACACTGACTTGACAAAAGAATCAATATGTAAAATGATTAATGTAAATCATTCTGTATGAAATGTATACAGAATCTTCGATTATGAACTCCATCATCCCTTTGCTCACTTGAAGAATTTATTCCCATACTTATGATGGGGACTAGGTGCATATTCCGATGGAGAAGGTTGTGCTGCTCTACTGCTGGTAGGACATTAATGACCAGCTTCTGGCCCTTTTGGCAATGTGCTACATATGCTTTTCCACAGATATACCATTTTCTATCAGGACTCCTAAGGGTTATCACATCATACCCTCTGCTCAGAGCCTCACTGGCCGGCGGCACAGGGCACGCTTGCCTATCTACTTTAAAGAAGTTATGTTTGCCCACAGCGTACTTGAAAACTGCAACATAGAGTTAGTAAGTTTTGTGTATATCGCTTGAAGAAAAATACTATCTGCACAGATATGGATATCCCTAGTCTGTCTCCAACTCTGAATTCTTTGCCTTCAGCTCAAGCAGTGTAGTTGAAGCCTATGGATATCCCTAGTCTGTCTCCAACTCTGAATTCTTTGCCTTCAGCTCAAGCAGTGTAGTTGAAGCCGAGGGTCCAGCCACAATTGTCTCCAACTATGAATTGCTTTGGTTCTGGCAATATTGAAGGTGGTAGAGTTGGAATTTTCCATGTTGGTGAACTGGAGGGGGCATCAGAGGAGACAGGCAACCCTGAAGGGAGGACATTAATGACCAGTTTTTACCCCATCTGGCAACGCTTGCCGTTTGCTTTTCCACACTTGTACCATTTCCTTGCTGGAGTTGCAAGGGTGATCATGTCGTATCCAGCAGTTAGGGCCTCAGTACCAGAGGGTACATTGCATACTTGGAAGCCAGGGCCATCAACTTTGTACATGTTGCGAATCCCAACAGGATACTTGAAAACTGCAACAATCAATCGCCAAAGAAAAGCAAAGGTTAGCTTGATGTAGCAAAACTAGTCCATATCTCAATATTTGCCTGATAGGGTTTCTGTATATATACCTGTTAACCATGCATATCTGCGACAA